AAGTGATCACTTAAAAAAAAAAATTATTTAATAAAATATATTTGTTTATTATAGATAGAATATTTGAAAATTCAAGATACGAATTGCGAGAAGTATTTAAAAAACCCAAGGCAAACATTTGTCATGAGATAATATAAGATCGTTAATATTTTCATTACATTGTTACACGACTACAAAGCCATTTAAGATATCAGTAAAACAAACATTGATAAACAAAACATTAAAATTTTATTGATAGTTTCTTTAATTATAAAAGTGTCCTTTAGTATATAACGAGCGTTCAACTTTGAGTGACTAAAGTCATTTTAATTATCTAGCAAACGATCAATAGTGATATAAGTAACTATAATTAAGTATAAAACGAACGTTCAACTTTGAGTGACTATAGTTATCCTTTATTAGTACACAATTATGACTATATTGTCTATTAATATAGAATTTATATATTTAAAATTAGTTGACTATAGTAAAGTTTAGTATTTAACGATCATTTAATGTCGAATATATAAAGTCATACTTACAATTAGTGCATATATAACGAGCTTCAATAGAAGAACCACAATATATGAATGACTATAGTCACTCGTAGCAAAAAACATGCGTAAAATGTTTTAACTATAGTTATATTTATTAGTATACTAATATTGTTCCACTTTAATTGATTATAGTCACATTTTAGTAAAACACGAATGTTCAAATTTGAGTGACTATAAATATAATTAGTATAAAACGAACGTTCAATTTTGAATGATTATAGTTGCTCTTTCTACATAATGAGCGTCAGTATTATAACTATAATCATATTTAATATAAAACGAGCGTTGAAATGTCAAGTGATTATAGTCATTATTAGTACAGATATAGGAAATTTTGAATAATTATAATTGCCCTTAGTAGGGGCAGTATGTGTTAAACGTTAAGATTAAAGTTATATTTAATGCTTAGCAAGCGTTTAATTTTGAATAACTATAGTTACTCTTATTACACAACAAACGTTAACCAATGGATGATTATAGTCACACTTTTAATATATAGCAAATATTCAACTTTGATTGACTATAGTAATTCTTTAATATATAGCGATCATTGATCATTAGGTGGTTATAGTCATCCTTAATAAACAATCAGCGTTAATCATTAGATGTTTATAGTCACTTATAGTCTACAATGAACGTTTAACAGTAAGTAACTATAAACATCCTTGGTATATAACAATAGATCAAGTTTTAATGATTATAGTCATCTTTTGCATACAATGAATCAATCAATTTTGAATAAATATAGTCATCTATAATATACAGAAAGCATTTAACTTTAATTGACTATAGTCACCTTTTAATATAGATAAAATTAATTTTGAGTGACTTTAATCAGACAATGTTTAACTTTGATTTAACTTTACACAACGAACATGTTCAATTTTTCGTAAATTTAATTATTTTTAGTATACAATGAAGGATCAATTTTGTGTGACTTTAGTTATCTTTGATAAACAAAGAATAAAATTGATTCGACAGTTAAATCAACGCGAAAGTTCCCGAGATCCACTTCCCGTATATTCATCAGAATAAGGCAGAACAAAATGAAGTTGACTGGAGACTCCCACGCATTCTGACACCTGTCGTGGTTAACACAAAAATTACTTGAAAAGAAACTACTCTTCTCTTTGTTTAGCTTTACGTGTAGACCCCGTTAGCAACGAATTTCTCACTGCTTATTTTTTTCATCTCTCTACGAAATCGCGAAGATAACGTTCGCATCGTACGATGTAATATTACAAACAGATGAAGAAAGACGTAGGGGAAAGGCTAAAGTTCAGATCTCTCACGTGTCTCGATATAATGTTCGTGAAAATAACTTGTCAGAGGATTGAAATTTTTCTCTTTTTATTTCCAATTATTTATTTTTTTTTTTTTTTCTGTATACACTATATATGTTCACTTATACGAAGGGTAAAGATTTTCTTACACAACTATAGTATTTGAAATATTTATATTACGAACAATCCGATTAAATTAATGAAATTAAGAACAAGATATATATCTATGTATTGA